AGAAGTTCGATGTATTGAGATGGACAAAGATTTGTCAAACAGTGAGAATGATGGAAGAATGTTAACACTATTGGAGTCTGGTAGTAGATTTGCTGCCAATCCAGTGCTAGCACTAGATCTCGGTGTTGAAAATGGTTGCTCTCGTGGAATGTTGAAGCATAAAATGCAAGATGTGCAAAATACCATGGAGTCTCTAACCAGCACTTGCGTGGATGAATTGTCCCCGCCAATCAACAAATTGGATTCTGGAAACCTGAAATTAATGAGCAGTGAGAGTTACAAAGCTAATTTAGTGACTGGCTCTCCTGATTTTGAGATTGCAGAAGAAATAGAAACAACCCCACCACCAACTGGGATGGGAAAAAGCTTCCCAGGCAGACCAGAAAGCTTCCAAAGGAAGAACTGGAATCTTCCCCCATTGATATATGGTGCGGATGGAATGAGATTGTCCAGAAATAATTCACAGTCTTCTTATGGTAGCAGTTTTCCCGATGAAGTAAAAGCCGAGGACAACGTCCATGGAGATGACGACATTCCTACCCTTGGTTCCTTTGTAGCAGGACTCAGGGAGATGGTTAAGCTTCAGTATGAAGAGAAACTCGATGATCAGGTGATAGTTGCTAGAATTCTTAACTGCTCTATTCTTGTAACGTTCAATTTTTCGCCCTTTTTCGTACTTTTTTCTTCCCATTAACATTTTTCTTCACATATTGATATAGCTGCATCCTGGGAAAACAATTGTTAATAAATTGGGCTTCATGATTATTAAGCTTCTACAGTATTCTCATATCTAGGTTAAAGAGCCTGAATCAAGAGCTCAAAAAAGTGTAGAAGATGAACTGGATGCAAGGTATGATTCTTCCGGAGCTCCCTCAAATTGGCTCCCGAAGTTTGAAAGGCTGCGGGGATTGATAATTGCATTATGGCAAGCCTGCAATGTTTCGTTGGTACATAGGACATACTTCTTCCTCCTTTTTAAAGGTGACTTGGCAGATTCCATTTACATGGAGGTAGAACACAGGAGACTATCCTTCCTCAAGGAGACATTTTCAGAGGGAAATCTAATTGTACAAGATGGTCACACTCTCACATTGGGATCAAGGTATCTTCTATGTCTCTTGATTCCCACTGAACGAAAAAATGTAGACATGTATCATATTTTACTAGAATTTGTCCCTTCCTCTGTTGGAATTAGTAGATAGCCTGTGTTATTCGTATATCAAGTATCTGATAATTGAAGATAATAGACCATTTTAAATACCTGTCTCTCCAATGAAAATGACATTAAAAAAGTACATAGAAGATATAAGATTCTTTCGATTTTTGTGTCTTATTCTTGTAATAATTTTGCCTCAGGTTAGTTATTCCTATTGATGATTCCCGTATATTGTTTTCTTGGAGTGACAGCTTGAAAGCTCTTCGCCATGAGAGGGAGATGCTAAGAAAGCTCATGTATAAGAGATATACACAAGATGAAAGGAACAAAATTTACCGGATATGGGGTATAAAATTGAACTCAAAACAGAGGAGGTTGCAGTTGGTCCATCGTCTTTGGAGCGACACTACAGACATGGATCACATTTCAGATAGTGCAGCCATAGTTGCGAAGCTGATTGGATTCTTAGAGCAAGGTCAAGCCCTCAAGGAGATGTTTGGTCTCAGTTTCACTCCTCCACGCTCTCTCCGGAGATCCTTTAGCTGGAAAAACAGTATGACATCCCTTCTGTGATGATGTAGCTATTTGACAAAAAAAAAAAGACTTCGTTCATTCTCAGGACATAGTACTGGACAAGAAATGAACAATAATTTAACTTCATTGTTAGATCTTGCAATGAACAAAGCAAAATGACGAAAAAGGGTTTATGTAGAATACCCCAAATTTACAGGGCAGAAGGCCTAGTTTTTTGTTGTTGTATTATCCGTAAGTCACATTGAAAAAACATGCCATTGTAGGTAGAATTAGGTATGGGATTAAATGTATACATTTAGACGGTTGATTTGAGTATATCTTGCCAATGAACTGTGATTGGTTTGTACAAGTTATCGATATCCTGATATGGAATCAGGATAGGTAAGAACTCCAATATGCTCTAGGAAATTTCATCCTTTTGTCTGAAGTGTGATGTAAAAACAGATATGGTTCTCTCCTTATTTTTACTTGTCAAATAATTTTTGTTATAATGATTGCAGCAATTGAATTACTTGGTGAACTTTTTATAAGTGGGATATCAGTAAACGAATTTTTTGGAGGTGCACAGTGCTAACTGTTCTTGTTAGAAGCTTGTTCGGTACGCAATATTGAATAGTATCATGAGTATTGACATCCATCTCTAATGCTAACAGTGACCTGTTTGTAACTACAAGGGATTTACGAAATTTTGATAGAGTTTCCTTGTAAAACGAATTAATAATTTTTTATTGCTTTCAGGTTGATTTAGTCCATTTTGTATGGATAATTTTTCAAAAACTTTATATGAAATGGCCAGTATGGGTTCTATGGCTAGTGACAAGAACAATGAAGATTGAAGTTCAAAGATGTCAAAACATAGTGTGACGTTTGATGAATCTTTGAATTCAATTCATGGCTACTAAAATTTATTAGGCCATCGTAGCACCAACCAGTAAAGGGCTGGGACTTTGGGCATAAAGACGTTCCACAGTTTGAAGAATTCGAATCAAGGTAGAGATTCTTGGAAAGTTTGACTCAAGATTGAGCCCTAAGTAGATTAAGTATTAATTGATGAATTTGGGATCAGCCATGGCATTCAGAGAAGCAAAGAAATCGTAGCAGCAATGGTTGTTAAAACAATTAAAGAAAATTTAGGGACCGTTCTCTTTGTGTTTCAGTTTTGAATTCATTTTGTATTTTGTGTTTTCAGTGTCCATTTTGAAATTGTTGAAAATGCGTTCTTTTATTGTTTTAAAAAATGAAGAAATGAAAACGTGTTCTCCCAAATTGGAAAGTTTGACTCAAGATTGAGCCCTAAGTAGATTAAGTATTAATTGATGAATTTGGGATCAGCCATGGCATTCAGAGAAGCAAAGAAATCGTAGCAGCAATGGTTGCTAAAACAATTAAAGAATATTTAGGTTTTGTGAATGAAACTTACCATGTAGGAAGTGAAGGGCTTCCTTGTAAGTGGAAGACCTATTATTGATCAATGGACACACGTACACAAGAAATTCAGCAGCCAATTGATATATGTTAGAGAGAGAGAGAATGTAAGAAAAAATGGTATGCGCATTTTTCGTGATAAGTTAATCTTTCTAACTTTGAAAAAGTTGAAGGTGAAGGAAACGTTGTATTGAATGATTTTTTATTTTTTTTTAAATTTATTGAAGTCTTGGTTTTTTTCCTTCTCATTTTTGTGATTTTCTTCTCATGCTTGGTTCAATGGGGAATTTTTTTTCCTCCACAATTAGAAGCTAAACTACATATGAACAACATTATTCACCTCGCGCCGTATAAAATAACAACTAATGGAAGTATATGAAGCTAATATGAAAGAAATAGAAAACAAAGGAGCTGAGACGGATGAATTTTAGATTGCCACTTTCGCATTGCAGCAGTTGAACTCCGATAAACTCAATTCCTTCACAAACAGTTGCATCAACATTAAGCTTAAAATAGTTCGCTCCTGGAGGCACCCATATAATTTCTGTTTGTGGAGGAAGGTTCATCAGTAGTCATCACTTTTTGTGCATTCATCCAAAAAGGCATCATTTGGGAAAGACAATCGACAGGATTTATTAAAAACTCATGTTCCTCTCCTTCGAGCACATCCATAAGGGCACAAGAAGTTTCTCCATTTCCTTGATTCGTAAATGAATATTAAGATTTCATTTCCAAACTTGAAGTTTTTTCCACATCCGTTCTTTTTAGTCGTGCACAAATATATTTTTTCCTTCTACCAATAATGGAACGAAGGTCAAGATATTTAGTATAGGGGCTAACTCTTCCCAACCCAAAAAACTCGACAATAGCATTTTGTTACTCCTCCATTGTATTTAGGCTAAAAGAAATGGGCGACTTTGACATACTGATTTTCTGGCTAGATGCCGATTCATATGTATCCAAAAGATGTTGAATGACGGCGCAATCTTCCGAGGTGGCTCGACAAAGATAATACTATTATCTGCAGAGAAAACGTGGTTAACCTAGTGCATTCAATCGCATAGATAACCCCCTCAACAAATAGAAGGTATATGGAGAAAGATGACATCCCTGCCTTGGTGTAATTGCACCCACTTCTAAAGTTGTTTTAATTAGGATGGTTACAGTTAACTTCTAATAAAAAGTTTAGATTTTGAAATTTTACCTTATGATTTTGCAGTTTTACATTGTCTTCTGATGTTACAAAATCTTGAATTTCTCTTATTCTACATGTTTGGTGAAGCTTGGTTATAATTTAAGATGGTCAAATAGTATTTACTTTTATTTATTTTTTAAAATTAAGCACTCCCAACTCCCAAGCATATAGAAATTTTTTCAATATTTCCACCTCATGTTGTGTTTGAAGCAGACCCGTAATATTAGGGATCGATTAATGTTTCAAGTAGATCTTGCTCCCTCTAAACTTGTGTCGGGAAATTTGTTTGATCGTTATAGCAAAAATGATTAAAACATTTATACGTTCCGTATCAATAAGGTGTTGTGCAACGTAACTAGTTAGAAGCAATAAAGTAAAGTTCATTTCTATTTATGATCCCAACTGTTTCTTTTATTTCTTCTCCTTACACTGCACCCAGGTTTTCAATTTTTTTCCATTTGTGCAGTCAACAAATATTAATGCAAATCTAAACATTTTGTGGAGTACACTGAAAGAACTTATGACTCTATGTAGTTGTCAAGAAATGCAAAGTACTACAGAATCTGAAGTTCGAATTTCTGCTCAAATTCTGTATACCCTTAAAAGATTATTCAAACACCTTGCCAGCTATAAATAGATGCAAAGTTTTGCCTATTAAGAAGTCACAAGAAATCAACCATTTCAAGTTCCATGGATGGAGAAACGAATGTTGTGGGAGAATCGTCTAGGTCCAGCCAACTGAAAAGTGATGCCAGGCCATTTAGATATCCATATCCATCCCCAGATGAAAGAATGCTGTTTGCGACTTTTTCCAATGGTCACCCAGTTAGTAGAGAAGAAATTTACGACTATTTTAGTGTGTATGTCGAAGCAAACGGTTTTTTTAAATACCTTATATATCATTGATATCTAAACAAATTATTGTTGTCACATGATATACACCTATTTATTTATTTTCCTTTGTGACTAGGTTATATGGGAGCTGCCTCCAGAAGGTTTACGTACACGAGAACAATGAATTTGCAAAAATTTTGTTCACAACAATGAGTTTGCCTGCTTCAATAATGGGGGACCAGGAAGTTGTGCACATTTCCATTAATAACAAACCAGTTTGGCTAAAGAAATTCAGGCGCCCGGATAGCAATAGAAATCAGACACAGTAGTTTCTGTCTTTCCTAATTTGCTTTTTTTTTTTGGTTGAATGATGTAAATAATTATATATATTCTGGACTTCAGTCATTTTCGATTTTGTATGTTAAATTCCAAACATCAAACTTGTTTGTCCTTAATGAACGAAGATAAGTTATAATTAACTCAGTCTGAAAAAATAGCTAATTTTCTCCACTTTTAGAAAAAGAAAAATTAATGAACAGTGTGCTTCGTGAAAATGGAAAATGTAGAAGATAATTTTTAGCTGCATGATTATACTCTTAATGAGTTGACGTTGTCTATAACGGCCATGAGTTAAAATTCAAGATAGAATAATTTTTTCCTGCGACAAAATCCTAGGAAGGGAATAGTATAAGTGTTGCTTATTTTCAGTTGCAAACAATTGATCCAGAATCCGCGACAAGGTACTAGGTCAATTGAGAATATACATCTGAATTTTATGGCTTGGAATGATCGAGCCAAAACCCATGGACAAACAATCTCCAAGTTATCGACACCGAATACGTATGTTATACATGTTATTGGTGTAAAACACAATAATGAACAAGAGAGACACAAGAACAACTAGAAAAAATTTCAGGATCTTTGATTTAATTAAAACTCATGATGTACTAGAATTGGTTTTTAACAGTTCCACAGGAAGTTTAAATAGCAAGAAGATCAAAGAAAAAAGTTAATAAATAAAATGCAACAAAGATTTCAAGCAAATTTAAATCGAAAATTACAAACTATATTTAAAAAAGGTGCCAAAGTCGAAGTTGTGATGGTGCAGAAGTTCCAGCTGGTGGAGAGTTAAGAGGTGGCAGCGATGGTGGTGGGGCGGAAAAGGATAAAAAATATTCTTTTTGCAATGAATATGCAGTAATGGCGGCGGTGGCAGTGGCGGTTATGTACACATGAGCTATGAATTTGCAAAACTAGTGTTCTCAATAATGACTTTGCCTGCTTCAATAATGGGGGATGAGGAAGTTACGCACATTTCCATTTATAATCAACTAATTTGGCTAAAGAAATTCAGGCCCTGAAGGGAGCAGAAATCAAATCCAGGAGTTTTTTTTATTATTGAATAATGTAAACAATTCTATGTATTCTGGACTTCATCATTTTCGATTTTCTAGATTAAATTCCAAACATCGAACTTGTTCGTGCTTATGGAATGAAGAAAAGTTAAACTCAACTCAATCTGAAAAGTAAGCTAATTTCAGCATTTTCAGAAGGTGGGAAGGAGGTGTAACTTTTTGCAAGAGGTTGACATAAATTGTTTGGATTAGACGAAAAATGGGATAGAAGAAAGTTTGGATTTCTAATTTCTATCTTTATTTACTTAATTTAGTGGATTTTACAGCATGGATTTATGGTGTCTACTTTTTACCTTGTTTGTGAGGTTTTTATCTCGTATCGGTATTTTATGTTAGATGGGATAAAAAGATTATCGTAGTTTATATAATTCTGACAAGGATCTAACATGAACTATGGGGTCTTCCTTTTTCTTTTCTATGATTATTATTTGATTTATTTGAAAGGTTGTACCCCTTGTAACAAACATGACAAGAGACCTACTCACTACAAAAGTTCAAGTTCGGAATTTGAATTCCTACATTTTTTAATGAAGATCCAAATTGATATTCTTCAAAGAATGGTTACAATTTTTCCTTCCATATACCATTTATATTGAGGATGACACTTATATATGCTACTAAAACAATTCTTATGATGATGCGGTGATGCAGGAGAATTCGAGTCAGATGATGCCGAGTTGCCTGATAGCTCGTTGATGACGTTGAGATACCATGAGTTGGCGGATCAGTACAAAAATGGCAAGTAATCACGATCTTTTCTAATTGGGACCATTTTGGACACGTTTCGATATTTTGGCAATAACTTTGGCTACGGTTATCAGAATCGCGCTCATGACTCCCATTTGGAAAGCTCTTTTCGGCGCGCACATCATGGTCACTGAGCAAAGCTCGGTGTGCATCGAGGGCAAATTCAGCTATTTTCCTTTTCGAATCCCCAATTTAAGTTATTTTTTGCTCTTTTTAGTAATATTTCATTTGCCTTTTTAACATAGATTTTGAGCTCGAATTGAGTTGGATTTTTGGGATATTATTTCTCTTATTACATATTTTCTTTTGGTATGAATATTTGAATTTTTCTATTTTTGGTAAAATTTCGATAATTATGATTTTTGAGTTATATAACCCGGATTTTGGGTTATTTTCAGTTGTTGGATGAATAATAAAGATTTCTCTTGTTTTCTTTACGTTTTCTCTTACGTTCTTCTTTACTGAATTTCAGCCTACAGAATAATCACTATTCTTCCGGCGTCATGCGGGTACTGCGGCAGTTGAGGAATGTTTGGATTTGGATAACGACGACTAAGACGCCATTTAGAAGTTGGATGATTATACTCTTAATGAGTTGACGTTGTCTATAACAGCCATGAAATTCAAGTTAAAGCAATTGTTTCCTACGAAAAAATCCGAAGAAGGGAATAGTTTGAATGCTGCTTATTTTCAGTTGCAAAAATGATCCAGAATTGGCGACAAGGTACTAGGTCAACTGAGGACTGAATTTTATGGCTCGGAATGATCAAGACAAACAATCTCCGGGTATATCAGTGATTTATGCATACAATATCATTGTATTGGTGTAAAATGCCAAAATGAATAAGAGAGACACGAGAACGACTCCAGAAAAATCCAGGATCTTTGATTTTACTAAAACTCAAGCTGTGCTGGAATTGGGTTTTAACACTTCCAAAGGAAGTTGAAAATGGCAAGAAGATGAAAGACAAGTGAACAAAATAAAATGCAACATGTTGGAGTCCGACCTCCCACCTCATTAAATACATAAGTTCAGGCTAATTAACTGCCATGTACTAAACCTTAAAATCAGACTCATAGGTGATGGGATCAGATCGATGAATACCGCCATAATATACAGAAGCAACATGATTTACATTCATTGCCACATTAACCACCCCTACAACCGACCACTCGCAGCTTAACACGTGGTAACCATGAATGTCATCAGCACCTAATGTTCAACGAATTACAAACAAGCAATGATTACCGAGCATCAGGTTATCATTACCTGGTGGCATAACTGGGACATAGGCATCATAATAACCCGCTTAGCTGACCTCATCAGCGAATCAGGAAGCTAGAATTCCGAGTGCTGGCACACATTTTTAGATTGATACTGTAGCAGAAATGACATGGCAGGCAAGTGGCTTGGACTTCCATCCTATAAATAGGGGCCGATGGTCTCCTCCAAAGGTAGGACTAAGGGATTGGGCAACAAACACTCCCAAACTTCTCTTTAGTGCAATTACTTTGTAAACTTTGATCCAATTCTATTGAGTAAAATGTTCCTTTTAAGTTGATCTAATCTTACCACGTCATTTTTAGTCATCAACACGACAAAAAGTTCAACCAAATTAAAATGGAAAATAAAAAACTAAATTTAAAGATTGTGACGAAGTTGTGATAGTGTAGAAGTGCTGGTTGGTGGAGCAGTGATGGCTTGGAAGAAGATGAAAATTATTATTTTTTAATTACATTCTTTTCTTTTTAATTTGTTTTATGAATTTCTAATTTTTTTATTTAGAAATAATGAAATGACCATTTTACTCTTTTAATTTTTGAATCTGATGGTCAGAGGAGTTGATTAATATTCTGTGGAATTCATCCATTTGGATGAATGTTGCCAATTTGTCAAAGGTTGTGGACACACATGTTGAAGAAAAGTTGAGAATGAAAGTGCAAAAGAATGAGTTGAAAAAGTTAGCTGCAATTTACCCAAAAAAGCGATAGGTGTAATAGCGTTGCCCATTCACAACTTTGTTAAATTTCATTTAAGAATAGTTTTTCAAGATCACTTGTCCCAAATGTAGCACTATTGTGCTAGAATGCATGACTTTCCTTTGATGAACTCTTAATAAACTGAAAATTATGTTTCCTAGTTCTTGAATCTTTATAATATTTTATAAATACTTCAAACTTCAACGGCTATTTCAACGTGCCAAGCTTGTGAATTCAATGCTCTCTTCAAAAATTTGCATGACTTTCCTTTTATATAACACGTAATAAGCTACAAAAGCACTTTCCATAATCTTTAATGTTTCTAATATCTCATATTTCTATTAAGAAAACAAACTACGTACCAAACCCGTAAATTCCCTAGTTCATTAACATTTATAATATTTTTCGTATTTACTTTAAATTCACAATACTATTTCAAGAAGAAAAAGGAATTTGAATACTTACCAGAACTCTAAATTCAACCATGTCGATGCAGCACGAGACATAGGAAAGATAGTAAAACATGACAAAAATCCATTAACAATCAATACTCATTGATTCAACCAAAAATTCAAATACACGGTTTGCAATATGCTGTTGCATGTTTATCCATTCCTATCCCTTGTGAAAAAGATGATTCCACTTTTGGTAAAAGAAAAGTCTTTAACCAATTTTGAAATTAGTCATTGAATCAAAATATGTAGTTTTATTGTTTTCTTCAACTGTCACTCTTTGTCAGCCACGGTTATATCGTTGACTGCTAACAGTAATAGGTAGGCACTTCCAAATCAAAAGTCTTGGCTGGCCGCCACCAAATGGAAGGGTGGTCAACTGTTTAGCCTTAAATAGATTCGTTGGACGCGATTAAAGTCATTTCAATCCACTGTTCCTTGAAAAATCAACATTCATGGCGACCCCATTTTTTGAGGGGAGATTTTTCAATTTAGTCTTGTTGACTAAGCCTCCTAAATTTTTTTTATTGAAAAGTCTATATTACCCTTAATAATAGGAGTTTTATAAATTACATAAAATATCGTTCTTTTTCCAAAGGTTTAAATTTTAGTCTTTATCTTATGTTTCTTCTATTTCTAAGGGTCCGTTTGATTGCAATTGTGGAAAATGGGTGGAAAGAAAATGAATTCGAGATAAAATAATTGCCTAGAACTTATTTTCCTTAAAATTTTGGA